CCCCAAAACCCCAAAACCCCAAAACCCCAAAACCCCATTTTAAGATAGAGATCTTGAAATGATATAAAATTTAATATAAAATATGAAAAACTCTCAAATTCCATCAATAAACATCCCAGAGAAGAAGTAACCTCCTTATCCCATTTTCACCCTCTAAACCCCCAAATCCCCCTAAAATCCCTTCCAGATCCTCTTACGCCCTCTCTCCAGCCCAAAAACCCACTCCAACCCCCACCTCCCCACCCTTATCCCAATCCTTCCTCCTCAACCTCCACTCCAACCTCAAACGCCAGCTCGACCACCCCAAATTCTGGCTCCAAAAGCCCAAAACCCTTAAAAAACCCTCCAAACCCCGCCCTCCCTCTCTCACCTCCCCTTCCAATCCCACCGGTAAGCCCCCTCAAAATCCAATTTATTCCTTCCTATCCAACTTCTGTTCCTCTGCTTAAAAAAATCAATTTTGACGATTATAGGAAGCAAGCAGCCAAAAATGTTGATGAGCACAAAAATTTTGAGTAAATCACCTGAAAAGGATCAAATAAAGTAAGATAAATTTTTTAATTCTTTTAGACTATATGCTGAAAGGTTTATGAAAAATAGAATTTTCAAGAAGCGCCGGATGTTTGCATCTAAAAATTCTAAATAAAAATTCTAGACCCAATCAAATTATCTATTCAAACAACTGAAGTTGGATAAAAGACAGCGCTAAAGAATTAAGCTTTGTAAAAACTGGGAAAGCTTTTGATCCTCGGGCATTAAGCAAATAAAGCTAGGTCCAGAACCAGGAGAGGCCGATGTTTAATCCGTATGCTAAATAAGCAAGATAAAGGTCATTCCAGAGCTGTTTCTGCAATTCCTTATGAACACAGGAGAGATAAAGAAAACCTAAACAAAGACATGCAAAAGGCTAACTCAACCTGTCTCTCTAACATGCTAGGTACTTTCTTCTTTTAACCCACAGCGAGAGGAGGTAGCAGAGGGAATATTTTGAATCAAACTCAGAACAACTTCCGAGCAAAGCTCCAAATCCAGAGACGTCCTAAAAACATCACCTCCAGACATCTAAGCAACCCTTCAAGATTGGACAATCCTAGTCAGAGATACTGTATGAACAGGCTTGATATTCTAAGCCAATGAAACATTGACTGGAATACCAATGTCTAGCATAATAAAATTATTTCAATCTCTTTAAAAGACTAAGGGGTTTTGGGGTTTTGGGGTTTTGGGG